ATACATGCATTTATACATACATTTTGGCACACATTGAACAAATTTTCGTATGGACTTTTTATATCATATTAAGTATTTAGCCTAATTCTAAAAACTCAACGTTGTTTCTTCATGTAATCTTCTAATCTAGCAATATCAGTTTTGTAGATATAGGCTGCAAAATTGTTACATAAAAAAAATATTGACGCAACTTATCAGCTTTGGATGTTACATTAAAGTATCAAATGAGCTAAATTATAAAAATTTTTCTCTTGATACGATCATATGCTAGACACGTATTAATGCATAAACTTTAATTGTGAAAAAGAATTTCCAAATCTATAAAATTAATACAAAATTAAACCGAACAAGATCTAACCGTACAAAAATTATCGGTAATATAGACGTAGAATTCAGTATTCCCTTAATAAATAATCAATAAATAAATAAGAGTCGCTTATACAAAAATGAAGTCCAGTATTACGAGCTTTCCTAATGAGGAGGAAGGGATACTTTCCAGAGTATAAAGATATATATCTTAAGCGAATTGTCCATTATACATTTATATATTACCTGTAGACATTCGTTTCTAGCACCATAAATGTGTGTAACAACTGACTATCTTTTGCGCGAATATACTTTCATTCGCGAACATAAAGGTAATTCTTTAGTAATTACAAAACTCGCAAAATGATAGATTTTCTTTATTCAATACAATTCACTCTACTTCCAGGTAGCACAAAGAATCCAAAAAATTCATTTTGAATCCCTAAATTATGTAATATATTCCTCTTCCATCTCATTTCTGATTTGAAAATGTTCCAGGATTTTATTTTTGTCACTAACTCTGAGCTCTTCCTCAAATATAAAAGAAAATGTTTTTATAATTTATAAGAATTCGTAATTAAATCGAAATAATTTTTAGACAATATATCTAAACCAACGGATACCCAACAAATTTTCAGAGAAATATTAGGTTTCCTAAATTAATTATTACACAGAACTAAATTATACTATCAAATTGTACTGTCAAAATATTTTGTTTTATCCCAGAGACCGATTTTATAGGATTTACTTTGAGGGCATCACAACGCTAGAATGAGGTTTTAGAGCATCATTTCATCACTATCTCATTAGAACATAATTCAAAAATCTCAAAATGTAGTACTTTTTATTTTGTGTTGTATAGTTTTTAGTTATGAAAAATCGTATTCAGCCACCTAGCAACAGTGTCATGTACTACTCGCGGATGAATGATTCTTTTCGAATTCATTACGAATAAAAAAGAACTTGTTCAGAGCAACTTTAACTTTACAGAAGTTAAATACTTCTATATACTTCTATAGAATCCTTTTTGAATTACCTGAAAGGAATTTTTCTGAGTTCATAACTAAGATCATCTGTGCATAATTATTATTCTTAAGTATAATATATTCAGAATAAATATTAAATATTAAAAAGACATAATTAATGATATTTATGAAAGTGAAATTCTATATGTTAAATATGTGTGTGCATGTACGCGCGCGCAGACGCACAAATCACACCAAATATTAATGATTTTATATTAATCTCTAATTATTGTCAACAACAATTTATATTATATATATGTATATTATCTGAGCGCGTTTGTAGTAAGTTTAGTACTAAGATTAGAAAGAAAAACTAAATTACGAAATAAACAGTAACATATGTATGAATATTATAACAATTCCTAGTCCAGCCTAAAAATTAGAAACATTGAATTCAATAACGTTTAAAATTATGTAAAAAGTAACTAATAAAATGTAATGTTAAAATTTCTTGATTAATTATATATAATTTTAAAAAATTTCTATATATAACAATTTCAACAAATTTATATTATTTACTTATAAACATTCTATTTTTTAAATAAATTTCATATGAACACATTTATCAGCATTATCAGCATTATTTTATCATATACTTTAATATAAAAAATATTTTTCGCAAACGTTACAAATATTCCGTTAAACTTCATGTAGAAATTAATATTAATTGGTATTCACATTTAATTTGTTTTTATTTTATATAAATTTATTTAATTTTATAATATAAAAGATATACTCTTTCTTAAGAAATCCTGTTGAGTGCAATGTCTATTTATATAAGTTTTTATTATATCAATCAATAAGATGTATACATTACAATTATTATGATAATTTGAGTAAAAAAATTCGTTTCTATAATGTATAATACATTCTATATTATATTATAATCATGGCAAAATAATATCAAAATACATAAACTTAACTTAACCTTAACAAAATAAATTTTCATTACATGTTTATTATATAATACAACATATATATCTCTCTCTTTTTTCCTTTTTTAAATCTAGCAGATCTTTTATTATAATTTCTAATAATTTGTACATTGTATTATAATAAATAACATCAAACTTTTACAGCCTTCCTTTTTAAATGATAGCAATATATAAGTTATTAAAAAAACTATCCTATATTTATAAGAATTTAGAATTAACATTTCTCGTTAACTTGTATGCTTCTGATATCAACAAACTTTTTCGAGTCCTTTTGTTGAACAGAGAGAGTTATGCTTGCTCCACTTTCATGCCATTTTGCTTTTAATAATACACAGCATCCTTTACCTAAAAAAATTCTCGTTATAGAAAAATTGTGTTTATATATATATATATATATGGAGGCGAGAGAGAGAGAGAGAGAGAGAGAGAGAGAGAGAGAGAGAGAGAGAGAGAGAGAGAGAGAGAGAGAGAGAGAGAGAGAGAGAGAGAGAGTAGAGAGAGAGAGAGAGAGAGAGAGAG